TGTGCCGCAGAAGTTTAGTAATAGTTTATGTGTGCCACAAGATGAGAAGTGTTGAAAATCCTTAGTATAGACTGATCTCTTTGGGTATTTTAGGTCCCTGAGAAACATATTGCGATGAAGTGGAGGTTCAAATCTTGGCCAGAAGGTAAGCAAGCATATTTGTGCTTTTTGTTTTGTTTTATCTTAATATATTTTTATTGATTTCAGAGAGGGAGAAGAGATAGAACATCAGTGATGGGAGATAATCATTGATCAGCTGCCTCCTGTGCGCCCCTTACTGGGATTGAGCCTGCAACCCAGGCATGTGCCCACCTGGGCATCGAACTGTGACCTCCTGGTTCATAGGTCGGTGCTCAACCACTGAGCCACACCAGCCGGGCAGTAAGCATATTTGTTTACTGCCATTAACCCCAGGATTTTTATTTACTTTTTATTTTCGCCTTAATCTCAAACCCAGGTGGAAACCCTGGATCTGAAGCCTCCCTCCCCTCTGTCTTTCTCCAGGGCACTTTGCCACCATCACGTTGACCTTCAATGATAAGAATGGAGAGACTGAACTGTGCATGGAAGGCCGAGGCATCCCTGCTCCCGAGGAGGAGAGGACACGGCAGGGCTGGCAGCGCTACTACTTCGAGGGCATCAAACAGACCTTTGGCTATGGCGCACGCTTGTTTTAGAGCCAGCAGCGGGAGCTCCAGCCTGCCTGACACTTCAGTCCAGCCCTCTCCTGACTGAGGCTTGACTCACAGGATTGCACCATCCCAACCACTAACTTGGGGCCTGGGCCCTTTCCCTTGCGTATACCTTGGGTTTGTGCATGTTTTCTGCTGGGAGGGATCAGAGGGCAATTTCTCTTTTATGTGTACATATGCTAAATAAACATAATTTAAAAAATGTGCATATCTAGAACCTGTGTTGATTGGGTGGCTGGTACTAAGAGTTCCCTTGACAGTTTTGAATTTTTAAAAAAAGGGCGGGAATGAGGCCTTGCCTCCATTCTGGAAAAATGTATGTGATTAAGAGGCATGAGGGGACTCGCCTGTCTCCAAGTATTCCTGCGCTGGCCTCATACAGCAGGCTGGCAGATGGGTCTGCTCCTCTCACTGAGGGAAAGGAAAGGCGGGTTGGCTCTGGCATAAACAGAGCCAGCAAACCACTGGTGGAGGTGGCATCCTTTTGCTTTCCACTCTCCATGGCCTCTTAACCTCTTAAGAGAATAGGTGATCACCGGGTACTGATTTGAGATATGGGGAAAAATTCCCACCCTGTCGCAGAGGACTATAGGCCTTGGGTTAATAGCTTCTGTTTATTGAGCAGTTACTATGTACCAGACACTACCCTGAGTAGCTTCTTTGTATTAGCTCATTTAATCCCCGTAAGAGCCCTATGAAACAAATACTACCATTATTTCTGTTTTACAAGAACCCAACCCTTGGATTTCTTAAGTAACATCCAAGAACCAACTGATACTTAGCAGAGTCGGGATTTGGAAGAGGGACCATAACCACAGAGCCAGGGCTCAAGTCTAAACCGCTGTCTACCGCCTTGTCATTGGACTCCCTTCCACAAAGCAGCAGCTGTGTTTCTAGTATGTTAGGCATCCCTCCTGGAGTAGAAAATTCCAGGCCTCCGTACTCCCAGAAAGGGGAAGAAGTGAATGTTCTTGTTGCATTAAACAAGCTTCCTGAGCACTGACAAGTGCTGAGGATTCAGTCTAGTGGGGCTCACCCTGCCATGTTGCAGGAGAGGTAGCTATCTGGACAGGAGGGTCACTTCCCCCTGCCCTGGCGTCCTGCCCCCCAGGATGAGTCAATGCCTGCTAACTGGGACACTACCTCCTGCAGCTACAACTATTTTCCTCCTATTTTTGCCTGTTTTATTAGGGGGCAGGCCTGCAGGCTAATCCTACCAAAATGACTTGGCCACAATGTTGTAGTTAAAGCAGAAAATAAGCACTGATCTGGATAATTTTGACCCCCAAAAGCCACCTGTGTCTTGAATTACTCAGAGTACGGGACTGAACTAATACACATCTAATTCTGTATTATATCTGCTTCCTGAGGCTCCAAAAAGACGTATTTTGATAAAAAGCCTGGACTCCAGCTTAAATCAACAGGCCTCTCCTAATACAGACTCCACTCCAGCAGAGACCAGTGTCAAAAAGGAGCCCTTTCACGCCTGGCTGGAGTTACCAATTAAGAAAATAGTACTTACAAGAAGTCCTAAGGTAAAGTCTACAGACACCTTAAAGCAAACCAAAGCACTAAGCCAAGTATCTGTTACATGACATACACATGAACATGTCACAGCCCCAGTACTGATGGCTGTTGCAATGTTTCCCACAGCCATTTGACTGACAGCATTTGTTAGCCATCTGAGCCCACAAAGCAGAATGATGTATCTAAAAACAAAACTGTGAACTTGGTTGGGCTTGGGTTTGAATTGTAAATATGCCACTTCCTGGGACAAATGTCCTCATCTGTATAATGGGTCTAACAGGTGACTTAGAGAATTAGAGATGATGGACTTAGAAGTGCTGGCAGCTGGCAGCCTTCAGCAAATGGTATCTGCTAATTCTGTACTCATGAGCCCACATGTTTTTTCTGGAGCAAGAATTAATATTTTGAAAATATATTTGGTTAATTGGCCAAATTGTAAATCATAAACCAAGGAGTCTCCTCACCTAAGAACCATCTGTTGAATGCAGAAAAGTGGACCCCACCACTAGAGATTCTCACTCAATGGGTGTGGCCCATGAACTTGCATTTTGATAGGTGTCTCAGGTGATTTCCATATCAGGAATTCATTTTGAGAAGTGCTTCAACATGTTAAGAAAATCTTGTAATGGCCGAGCCAAAGAAGCATACTTAGGTCCCTTTTGTGAATAACGGGACAAAGGATCTGAAACACCGTATCTTCCAAGAGACAAGGGAGGTCAGCAGGATCCAACAGGCTTTGTATTGCTGGTTAAACCCTAGTAAGAATTCAATTTGAGCCCGAACCAGTGTGGCTCAGTTGGTTGGGCATCCTCCCGTGTACAGGGAGGTTGTGGAGGTTGCAGGTTCAATCCCTGGTGGAGGGTGTACAGAAGGCAGCTGATTGATCTTTTTTTTTTTTAATTTTTTTTTTAAATATATTTTATTGATTTTTTACAGAGAGGAAGGGAGAGGGATAGAGAGTTAGAAACATCGATGAGAGAGAAACATCGATGAGAGAGAAACATCGATCAGCTGCCTCTCGCACACTCCCTACTGGGGATGTGCCCGCAACCAAGGTACATGCCCTTGACCGGAATCGAACCTGGGACCCTTGAGTCCGCAGGCCGACGCTCTATCCACTGAGCCAAACCGGCCAGGGCAGCTGATTGATCTTAACTCTCACATCAGTGTTTCTCTCTCCCTTCCCCTCTCTAAAAAAATCAATAAACTATTCTTTAAAAAAAAAGAATTCAATTTGACCCATCTTGCCTAAACTAGGATCCCAGATGAGAAAAACCAGATGGGAAAATCAGGCAAAACCATCGAGGTGGCTGGAGCAGCTAAGTTGGAAACAGTAGTGGTGGTCATAACCCATGCATGGCCAAGGTGGCTCCTGGCATTTGGAGTAGGAAGAACAGCAAATGACAGCAGTGAGGTGACTGACAGTGGACGGGAGTGCAGGGAGGGGTCCTCTGATTTCCTGGGCCCCTCCTGGCTCTGATACTAGCCGCTACCAAGCCGCCCCCTTTCACAAGTGCTGTGCAACCTCCATCACAGTTTCTCTTCACACAGGTGTTCCCCCGCCTGCAGCTACCTGCAGTGTCTCTCCTCTGTAGAGCTTGAATACACATCATTTTGTAGCTGACCTACTCCCTAGTGCCTTTTTCTTAGTTTCTCTCATATGTGCCTGACATGGTAGCAATTTAGCATGTCACTGAGATTACAGATTAAAAATGGGACTAAGTACTGTTTGGGTAATAAACAACCATTAGGTATAGATCAACTTTAGAAAGCAGCCCTAGCTGGCTTGGCTCAGTGGACAGAGCATAGGCCTGTGGACTGAAGAGTCCTGGGTTCGATTCCAGTCAAGGGCACATGCCCGGGTTGTGGGCTTGATCCCCAGTAGGGGGCATGCAAGAGGCAGCAATCAATGATTCTCTCTCATCACTGATGTTTCTGACTCCCTTTCCCCTCCTCTCTAAAATAAAAATATATATTTTTAAAAATTTATACAGCAGTGTGTGTCAAGGTAAGTTACATTAGAAAGGAGGAGAATTTGCAGTTTTCTGTGAAAACAGACTCTGGGATGTCTCTAATTTTTTAAGTTTATGCTAAAAAAATAATTAAAACATGTCTTTGCTAATTAATTGTATTGAATTTTACAGATGAGAGAGTGAACTTGGCTTCCATCCGGTGACCTGAGATCCTGCCCTCTCTGACCCTGTAATATTCTAATTGCACTGGAGTATTTTTAGACTGTGGTCCAGGACCAGACTAATAAACTCACCTCGAGCTGTGATGCTAATCGGAAACATGTGGCTCTCTGGGCTTCTCCAAGTGGCAGCTTGGAGACACCTTGCCTCATTCTACTTTCTGTTTCCTTGGTGCGTCTCTTTCCTTTCCCAAAGGCCGGGGTGACGGCGGAGTGTCTGGTAAGGGTGCCAACTAAGGCAGGGGCCAGGTCCCTCTCTGCCATCCTATAAGTATAGTGCTTGGGCAACTCTGTGCTGGATTCCCTTGCAGCAAGTTACCTGGGGAAGTGGGGCCACTTCCTCCGGAGTAAATGCAATTTACCTCTTTGACCAAAAAACAGAGTGAATGTGCTTCCCAGGCAGCCCTTTGCAAGTGTGAGTTTGGTCAAATCCCTGCACCCAGGAGCTCGGCCTGCCCAGCTGGGTGAGGCAGTCACAAATGAAACCCGAAACACAAAACCCGTGGGAGCTGGGAGCTCGGCGTGGGCTGTAGCAAAGGCTTCCGACCCACGCTGCTCTGCTGGGCCACAAATTCACCAGACAGACAGAATTGGAACGTAAAGTGCTTTATTGCTGAGGATCCCGAGAGCTTCGAGGCCGCTGTCTAGGGGCTAGCAGTGAAATCCCCTACCCTGCGGAGGCTTTTGTGAGCAGGGACGGCTGGGACTTCAGCATTTCAGCCCCATGGAAGGCATGGCAGTGTGGTTGGGGGTGAGGGGAGGTAGGAAGAGGCACAAGGTGTGTGGGGGGAGCAGACTGTGCTTGTCTCCCCAACTCTGAGCTCAGTGCATTCAACGACGTCACCATGGGAGCCTGGAATGGGCCATGGTGGGAGTATTTATACCACAAAAGTTGCCCAGATGCTACATTCAAGGATTCTCCCTGCCCGGAGAACTGGTTTACCAGGGCACCAGGAGCATGCCGCACCTCCTGAGCTGGTTCTGAGTCCACCCCAAGCCTGGCTGCTGTGACAAGCTGCCACTCCCCCAGGTGGGGCAGTGCCATCTCCCACCACCTGGACAGAACACAGGTGGGCTGGACAAAGGGGACCTGACCTGGGATCCTGTCCCTGCCTGGAGCCTGCCCTGGCTTGGCCGCCTCAGCCTGTCTGTCCACTGAGAGCTTCAGCCCCGGACTGAAGTGGTGTCCGCCGAAAGGCAGCTCGGAGCTGAGGATAAAACCCTTTTGCTCAGTGGCTCCCAGCAGGCAAGAGGGCCACGTGCAGCCACTCAGAGGTAATGAGGGCTGGTCACCCAGGGCTGACCAAGGGCAGCTGTGGGGGCTGAGATGAAAGGACTGGCCCTCGGGACTGGAGGTTTGAGTGATTCACCGCAGGTCCTGGGAACCAGGCTGTGTGGAGAGTGGACAGCCTGGCGCACACCGGTGTGCAGAACCAGGGCAGGAGAGCCCAGCTCCCAGGTGGGGGAGGGAAATGAGCGGCCAGGGTGGGACAGCACCTCTTAGCAGGCAGGAGGGTAGCCCCCACAGGGACCCTGGGCTGAGCTCCTCCCCTCACCCTGAGCCTGTACACCCTGTACCGTCTCCCCAACCCCACCCAACACTTGGGTGCTGACCAGCCTGGAGTTCACAGGCCTCACAGGCTAAGCCCTTACACTCACCCAGCCTGGGCAGGGGCAGGGACAGGGGCCTGCCAGGGAAGCGCTCAGCACAGCAGCCCTCTCATCAGTACTCCTTGGCCTCCTGCAGCTGGGCCAGGTACTCCGGCTCGGGAGGGTTGTCAGGGCAGGCCCAGCCGTTGTTGGGGGGCCGCACAGAGTGGTAGCGGCTCCAGTCGCCCTTACACATGATCCAGGGCATCTTGTCCAACTTGAAGTGCAGTTCAGGTGAGACTTCGCTGCTGATGAGGTGAGGTGCGCCAGCGCCCCTGCCCCGGGTCAGCAGCCGGTAGCTGGAGTCGTAGCAGCAGTGCTGGGCGGCCAGCGTTTTGCTGTCCGAGGACAGCAGGGAGCGCAGGCAGTAGCTTGCCGTGGGCTTGTAGATGTCCAGGCGCTCTCCCGGGCCACTGGCGTCCCTCCACTGGACGCTGCGGCCGGTCCGCTTGTCCTGCAAGCTCATGACCTTGTGCGCAGCCTCCGGTGGGTATGTGCATGGGCAACTGGGCAGGTCCTGCAGCACCTGGCTCAGGTACTTGTCTAGGAAGTCGCTCTTGCAGTTCAGCCACTTCTCACAGTGGTCCACACCTGCAGAGGGCAGGGAAGTGGGGGAAGTTGGGTCAGCCCCGTGGTGTGGCGGGTGGGGCCAATGGGTGGAGAGGAGGCCAGAGCCCCAGCTGGTGCAAAGGTGTGGCCAGGTAAGGCTTTAGGGGCCAGAACTGGGAGCTCCCGGACAGCACTGCTGACAGACAGGGGCTCCCACACAACACCAGGCAACCTGAAGCAAGAGGCCCTGGTTTAAAATAGATGCAGGCCCAGGGGCTAGAGGAGGGGCCCCGATGGCCTCTGCTCTGCTAAGGTGCTGTTCCTTTCAACGCTGGGTGGTAGGAAAGGTCCTGGGGAAGGAGCTGGGTGGTGAGAGCAGGGAGAACCGTTAAACAAATTGGTAAGAAAATGTTTCAATACAGGGTGGGGCACAAGTAGGTTTGCACTTGTTCTTATGGCAAACCTACCTCTGCCTTTCTCAGGCCATATGCCCTTGGGTGAGTCACTCTGCCACTCTGGGCCCCCAGTGGCTGCCCTCCCCCATCTCTCTGCCTTGGGAAATGTGGCTTCTGACCCCTTGAAACCATGAGCTGCTATGGCACTGAGCAGGGGCCTCCTCTGCACAGGCAGGAAGAGGTGTGGGAGGTGGTATCCACAGCCTCCTGGCTCCTTGCAAGGGGCGGGTGAGACCGAGGGACCCAGATGCTGTGATGCTGGTGGAGGCGTGGCCTACTCCGGGCTGCTGGAGGGAGAAGTCCCAGAGTTCTGGACCCCGGTCCACTCCTGGCAGCACCCCCTTCCCAGACAAAGCCTGCCCAGGAGTCTTCAAAGGGTGACTCAGGAGTAGCCAGAATGTCTCCTTCCCATCCTGCTGCCAGGGAGAATATGCCCCACAGGATGGTCTCCAAGCTCTTCAGCTCCCATGGAGACCTTCCCAGCAGGAATATAAAGCTGGGGAGGCCAATGGGCCTGTCCAGAGGGGTCACACACGCTAGGGCGCCCTTCTGGGGAGGCTGACCTTCCTGTTGGAAAATGTACTCTCTGCCTCAATGGATGGAAGTGAGATTTCTGCCCATGAAATGCTGAGAGAGAGAGAAAGAGAGAAAATAGCCCTCCACTGACCTGAGTCCAGAATATCCGTAGCATTGGGGGCCAGGAATGGCCACTCCTCACTGGGTAAGTCCAAGGGGTCCTTGTCCTTGGCGCCTTTGGGAAGAGAGGAGGTCAGGCTGGTGGCGTCCCAAGGCACCTCTGTGCTCCCGATGGGGAAGCCCAGCCCTCACTAGGCGCTTGGTGCCCACAGCATCTGGGACAGGCCTGCGATGAGGCAGGACCACCATGTTTGTGAGCTCCCACATCCCCTCTCCCAAGACCACCCTGGTGTAAGGCTCCCATGCCCACATTCCCAGGGGACCAAGCACGGTGTGTAAGCCACTCTCTGTGCAGGAGCTGTGGCTCGTCTCACCAGGACAGTGGGGCAGGTCGCAGTCCTTGGTCTGGGTGACAGTGCAGGCGAAGCCACAGGGCCGGGTCCTCTGCTGGGTGCTGTTGCCGCAGCTCCCGCTGCACGGAGACCAGGGGCCCCACTCCTGTGGAGGCTCATCATCTGTGTCAAGGCAAGGAGCCGGGGGAGTGAGCACAGCCCACAGGCTGCACTGGAGAATATTCGCCTTTTGCTAAATTTCTCAGGAGGATGCAACCCGAGGCAGGGCCCCAAGCCTAGTGCATGGAGCAGGGGCTAGATTTCAGCCCCTCTCAGACCCCTTGTGCAGTGAACACCTGTGCAAATGCAGGAGGTGGCCCTAGGGAGGCAGCACAACCCCCAGCACATACTCTATGCCAACACAGCAACAAAGAGGAAACGGTATCTGGGCTGGAGGCCATCTGGCCATTGTCAGGGTGACCTTGAGCAAGTCCCCCTCCATCTCTGAGCTGTAGTTTTTATGTCAATCAAAACCCAGGATGACAATACTCTCCTGGGGTTATTAAAGAATGTCCCTGCCCTAGCTGGCTCAGTGGATAGAGCGTCGGCCTGCAGACTGAAGGGTCCCAGGTTCGATTCCAGTCAAGTGCACATGCCCAGGTTGCAGGCTCGATCCCCAGTAGGGGGCACCCAGGAGGCAGCTGATCAATGATTCTCTCTCATCATTGATGTTTCTCTCTCTCTCTCTCCCTTCCTCTCTGAAATTATATATATATATATATATATTTTTTTTTTTTTTTTTTGAATGTCCCCGCTGCCCACGTTAGGGGCCCGGTCCTGCTGAGAGACTTGGAACACCCTTGACTGCACCCACACCCCTCTGGCTGTGCAGGGCCCAGGGCTCTCTGGGGAAACCCAGAGTAATGACACAGCCAGTGCTCTCCTCACTTCCTGGCAGGCCCGAGCAGGCTGGCACCAAGAGTTTAAGGATAATAAATGGAAGAAAAGCTGACAGTCATGAAAATTCTGCCTGCTAGTTTATATTATTTTGGTGAAATTGGGAACAGGCTGCTATAACTTAGTCTTAATCATAGGTACCTCCATCCAATGACAAAACAACAAGGCTCTAGGGAGAATGGCTGCAAATATGTGTGAGATGGTCTGCACCCAGGAAATCCTGAACTACAATGTGCAAAAATATAAATGGCTGCCTAGAGGGCTGGCAGGCTCCAGGTGATATTTTCTGAACAGACTATATCGTACTGTTTTCTAATCAAAATAGCGGATACTGTGTTCACTACATGCAGGCACTTTAACTGTATTAACTGACTTAATACCCTCTACACCCAATCCTATGTAGTAAGGGTTGTGCTAGTCTCCATTTTATAGAGCAGCGGTTCTCAACCTGTGGGTCGCAACCCCTTTGGGGGTCGAACGACCCTTTCACAGGGGTCGCCTAAGACCATCGGAAAACACATATATAATTACATATTGTTTTGTGATTAATCACTATGCTTTAATTATGTTCAATTTGTAACAATGAAATTGGGGGTCACCACAACACGAGGAACTGTATTAAAGGGTCGCGGCATTAGGAAGGTTGAGAACCACTGTTATAGAGGAAAGAACTGAGGCACAGAGAGGTTTAGTAACTTGCCTAATGTCACTCAGCTGGTAAGTGGCAGAGTCGGGGTTCAAACCCTCATAGTCTGAAAATGAGGTCAGTTGCAAGTGGTGGGATTTATAATATTTTGCAATTTGTTGGAAGCTGACAGATATGAATATATATACATAATATTAATATGTCGGTTTTGCTTAGGGGATCTCAGAGCTGTTGTGAGGGTCAAATGTTTTTTGGGCAAAAACTTTGCAAGCTATGGGTGATGTTACCTTTCAGCGGATGATGGTGTTTGTACAGGCCTAAGCTCCTGGTCCACCAGCTGCCCCTGCCCAGGAAGTTCTCAGCCTTCTCTCTACCCCCAGTTCCACTCTGGACCTGGAGGGCAGCAACCAGGGATGCCAAGATGGAGGTGCTCACCGTAGAAGTCCCTGAAGGGGTGCAGCCAGTCTTGCTCCTTGTTGTCATCTTCCTCATCATTGTCCTCCTGGTCCTCGCTCTCACTGTACTCATAGCCTGTAAGGTACTCCTCCTCCTCTGCTTCCTCCTCCTTTGCTTCCTCCTCCTCTGCTTCCTCCTCCTCTGCTTCCTCCTCTTCTCTTGGTGCTCTGTCCTTGAGACTGGACCCCGCCTCCTCGCCCCTCAAGTAGTCCCGGAGGAGGGACCTGGAGGTCTCCATGGCGGTAGACAGCCAGCCGAAGGGCCAGACATTGCTTGGCTTGGCCAGCACATCCTTCTCCACCTTGGCCTGGGGGTCCTCCACCACCTCGATGGTCACCTGCAGGGAGACAGACTCCAGGCCGGTCAGTGAGGGAGGCTCAGAGCTGGACACCAAGGAGAGGGAATAGGACAAGGGCAGGAGGAAGAAGCCCAACCTTCTTGGCCTCCCGGGCACATGGGGTCACAGCTTACGACCTGGCTATGCGTCAGAATCCCCTGAAGGTCCTAGACTCCCCAACACTACCTCAGACATGGGTGTAACTGGTCTTAGATGGGGCCAAGCATGGGGGCTCTAGCGGGTGCCAGGGCAGAGATCCACTAGTGTCAGAGAAGCTGGCTTTGAATTCTGGCTTCACCGGCTTGCAGGCTGCACAGCCTCCGGGGCCACTACAGCCCTGAGCCTCCATTTCTTCCTTGTAGAACCAGAAAATGAGAGCAGAGACAGCACATTCCCAGGGCAGCCCCTGGGGGGCGAGCAGGGGCTCTCTTTCACCACATGTGGAAGGGAAAACGAAACATGAAATCATTTATGTAAAAGCGAACCTTAAAAACATCATTTGGGGTTAAATTAATCTGAGGTCACTGAATAAAATTTGGGGGGAAAACAGCAAAATCTAAAGAAGCAGTGAACGTTGCCCATCTTCCATCACCGACGGAGAACATTTTGGTGATTAACGTTCCCAGTTTTACATATATATATATACACATGTGCACACACATATACTCAAACAATTTTATAGTTATGTTCTACACTTTTCTCTTTCAGTGAAAGTGTTTTCTAACTGTAGATGCTACACAAAAATGCAGAATTATTACCATTAGGGATTCAGGACTGGCAGTGGGGCATGTCAATCCCCCACCCACTGTACTCAACCCCTCAGGGGACTGCATAAGGGGCTGGGCTTGGGTGGGGATCAGACCTTCAGGCTTTTCCACAAGGTTTCCCCCCCTCCCCCCGAGATTTCCAGAGTCCCTTGCAGCTCAAGAAGCAGTCTCCGCTCATCTGGTCCCCATGACAGCGCTGCCAGGTTGGGGCTGTTTGTCCCTTGCTATGGACTAGGAGTCCCATGAGTTGCTCATGGTCTGCAGCTTAAAAGCGGAGAAGCAGGTCCTCCCCCAACAACTCCATGGGGACAACATGGGGAGTCAACTTCTCCAACCCCACACAGCACCCGCACCTCCAAGGAAGGCCGGACAGGACGCCTGACCTCAGAGCTGAGCCCCTGAGCCCAGCTCCTCTCCTGGTGCCCACTGGGCCCATGGCCCTCCTGCAGCTCTCACCTGGATATCGGGGCTTGGGGTACTCAAGTCCGTGTTGGCCAATCCTGGCAGCGTCTGCAGCTCCAGAACCAAGGGGGTGTCCTCCTGGGTCCCAGGAGGGGCTGTGTCTTCTGGGGTCAGAGCTGCTGGCTCAGTGACAACCCAGTGCCTGCGTCTCTGTGGCCCTGCCTGGAGTGGGGTCTTCTCCTCTTCCCTAGGAAAGCCGGGATCTTGGGAGGCTGAAACCTAAGGGGGAGAGACGGGGTGGGAGAGGTGACTGAGATCAGGGATTGCCCCATGTGGACCCAAAAAAGGCTGGGTGTGACCAGATCACAAACTTGCCGTGACTGTATATCCAAACATGAGAGCTTTAAGGCCTCATAGGATAAGGGGGGCTGTTTCCACAAAGCACTTGGACAAAGAGCCAATATGAGGCATGAGGGGAGGGTTGAAATCAGGTTTCTGCACACAGAAGAAACAGTCCATCCTCCTCATTTTACAGAGGAAGAAACAGGCCCAGAGAGGGAAGGCAGTGGTTCCAAAGTGCAGTTTGCAGGCCGCCTGCCCGAGAATCCCCCAGGCTGTGGTCATCGGAGAACAGCCTCCTGCAGCACAAGTCAGAGAAGGAAGCCCCAGGAAGGCCTCTGAGGTGGCAGCAGGCTTGGGCCCTTCCCCTCAGAGCTCCCCACTGCCTGGCCTTCCCGAGCGGCCCATGTGGGGGCTGGATTCCCTAGCATCTCTGACCACAGCTGCCTGTCTGTCTCTGCCTGCCCACCTGGGTCTGGTCTCTTTTCCTATTCCAGGCTGCTCATATGGCTGGCTGGCTGCCAGCTAATTCCCCCCACCAGCCTGTGCCCACGGGGTCCACACTGCACCATCCTTGCTTCGGCACAGGTAGTAGGTGAAAGGTCGATCCTAGTTGTCTCTGACTCCTGCTCCAGGGCCCATCTGCTCAGACAGTGGGACACTGGGCCATCCACCTACCTCCAGGCTGCAGCCATTGCCCAGGTATTCATGCCAGAGCAGAAAGAGCACTGTTTAGAGCTACCCTTATAAGCCTCAGGGGCCGTGAGCCTACTCTGAACCCTGCCACAGCCTTGAGCCCACCTCCCATCTCACCCGGGCAGTGTGGTAAGGCTGAGAAACATGGGTTCTGGAGAGTCAGACCAGCTTGGGTTCAAATCCAAGCTCTGCCTCTCACGAGCTCATTCAACTTGATCTGTAAAATTAGGATAATTCCTACCCAGAGTCTCTTGGAGTCAGAATTTTATTTATCAAACACTTCCACAGCATTGACTGTGTGCCAACCACTATTCTAAACACGTAAGCATTCGTTTCATCCTTCCAACACCCCTCAGGGGAGGTGCTCCTGCCATTCCCATTTTGACAATGGAGACTAAAGCACAGAGAGGGCAAGTACCTTGTCTGAGGGCACACAGACATATAGAATTTGAACCACTATGCTCTAACACTATAGGCCGGAGCACTGAGAGTCCCCTTCACAGACCCGGGGCTTAATCAGTCTAGTTTCTCACTCTCTTTTCTTGGGTTGGAAAAGTCTCTCCCCTTTGACTTTCCCTTCTGTGGTATGCAGATGCCTGGCTCCAAGGCTCCTGCACAAATCACTTGGTCCCAGGGCAGCTGTGGCCCCACCTCGGCCTGGCCCTGCAGTCTCTCTTGCTCTAGGGTCAGGCTGCCTGGGTCTGAATCGTGGCGGTGGCTGGCATCTGGACTGCGGGACCCTGGCGGGGCACATCACCTCTGCGAGTGTCCTTCTCTATAAAATGGGAAAGGAGATGGGCAGGAGCTGGAATCTCGCAGGTGCTGAGGATGTTCAATTCCAGCTCTCCCTGATGCCCGGTCGGACCAGGTGATGAAGAAAAGCCATAGAAAGCCCTGGCTACACATCCTAGCCACACAGGCCACCCTTTTTGTGGCGCCTCCTGCTCGGTGCACCAGCCCCCGGGGGTTCTGGGGTGTGGAGCAGAGAGCAGTGGCGGGGGGGGGGGGGGGCCGACGACATCTGGTCTTAATTTAAGGCTCCCTCAGAGCTGAACCAGACACAAGGATTCGAGGGCAAGTGGCAGGTGATCTGATCTCAAGGAGACACTGTGGCGGGGTGGGAGGGTGGAGAGAGAGCAATCAGGGAAGGGAGGCAGCTAATAAAGAATGTTGCTTCATGCCTGGCCAGTGTGGTTCAGTGGATGAGCATCAGCCTATGAACCAGGAGGTCAGAGTTCGATTCCTGGTCAGGGCACATGCCTGGGTTGTAGGCTCGATCCCCAGTTGGGGGCATGCAGGAGGCAGCCAATCAATGATGCTCTCTCATCATTGATGTTTTCTCTTGCCCTCTTCCTTCCTCTGCTGAAATCAATAAAAATATATTTTTTTAAAAAAAGAATGCTCCATCTGGCTGGTGACCACAGTGGGCAACTGGAGCTCAATCCCCCTAGACGCCTCCGTTATCCCCAGAGGAGGGGAGCTAGGCTGTCTACCTACCCACTCCACCAGTCGTTGGCTAAGGGCTGCTGGAGTGGGGGAGAGTTTGCTCTCCAGGCAGGTACGTCGGGCTGCCATGTACAGCTCAGAGCCGTCCCTAGTGCCAGTGAACACCCTCAGGCAGCTGGACACTGGCAACTGGAAGGCCTGAGGGCACATGGGCTGAGCCCCAGAGCCATGACCTGTGACCCCTGTCTAATCACATATGGGCCAGGCCTTTTACGTGCCTTCTGCCACCCACTCCAAATAGAGTGAAAGTGGGAATTTCTGTCTGCTTTGTTCATGCTGTATCCTGTGCCTAGCACGGTGCCTGGTATATTGTAGGAGCTCAATAAATTACTGCTGAGGGCTTAACTGAATGCCAGCATCCTGAGGAATGAGTGGGACTATGTGAACGACGAGGCTATGGAGGCCAGAGAGGGTAAGGATTTACGTAAAGTCTCAAAGGTTACAATAGCAGAGCTCGGGTTCAAACTCAGCTCTGCCTGATCTCAACTCCATGCATCGGTGCAACCACCTCTGCATTTACAAAGCACACCCACTATCATCATCTTGTCTGGCAGCTGAACTCGGTGGTAACGAGCTGTGTGGCCTTGGGCAGCTTACTTCATCTGCCCAAGTTTCTCCCTGCGTCAGTTAGGAAACATGAGGTGCCTCATGAGGTGCCTCATATGTGGCAAGCATGCAATGAACCATTTGTATGCCATAAGGGTCTATAGACGCAAGCAACGGACCCTTTTTAATTAAATTCAAAGTATGGCGTGGCAGTTAGCTGGTGAATGTTACTTAGAAGTGATGACGGATGGTTCTCAGAGCGGGGAGAGAGGAGGTGCCTCTTTCTCCAGGCACTGTGTCAGCTCTTTACATCTTAATTGGTCTGAAGACCTTCCACCTGCCACGGCTGATGGAGGACCTGGGCAGGTATACAGTGGGGCCTTGACTTACGAGTTTAATTCGTTCTGAGACCGAGCTCATTAAGGAGCTCGTTAACTCAAATTACTCTATCAACTCAATGCAAAAAATCGCTGAGAGACAGCTGGTATCTCAAAAAACTTGTTAGTCGGGACACTCGTAAGTCAAGGCCCCACTGTACTCCACAATGTTCTGAAGTGAATTAATTCTGAGGCTCCGCCTGCCTGTGTGAGAACACCTGTCATGCCCCCAGGACATTGCCCCCACCTGTTAAGCTTGCACGTGGAGTTTCACGCAGGTGCAAATATGTAACTCCATTCTGTGATGGTGGGGGGGGGGGATGGAATCATTACCCAGACCAGGGGTCCTCAAACTTTTTAAACAGGGGGCCAGTTCACTGTCCCTCAGACCGTTGGAGGGCCGGACTATAGTTTAAAAAAAAAACTATGAACAAATTCCTATGCACACTGCACATATCTTATTTTGAAGTAAAAAAACAAAACGGGAACAAATACAATATTTGTATTTGCATGTGGCCCGCGGGCCGTAGTTTGAGGACCCCTGACCCAGAGAGTCTTGAGATGTAGAATTTACACAGGTTCTCCCCACTATCTGAAAGTAGGGCTTTCTACAAAACCTTTCACAAGGAGAAATGGTATAAGGTGAAGAAGCAGTGACCATTCATTGACCATTCATTCACATGGAAAGTCTCCAGCCTTGCCAGACCCCCCAAACCGAAACAAACTCTAACGTAATAAAAGCAGTGGCTCTCTCGCTGCTTGGGAGCGCACCGCCCCTGTATCAGCTTGCGGCAAGACAAAATCGGAACGCTATTTTTGCTTCCTCCCTCCACCTTTTAAAAAAATATTTCCTACCATATTTTTATTGCTGCTATATGTTCCCCCTTTTTTCATAAAAGCAAAAATCCTCTTGGATTTCTTTTCAGTTAGCAAAAACAGGTACTGATGTGAGTTCTGTAAAGTGAAGAGGCGCAATGTGAACTTTCGAAAAACGGGACATGCCTGTACTGAGCTATATCTCCATTTTCTATCACACACACACACACACACACACACACACACACACACACTCCCCTACATGTGCCCTCCCAGGCTTGGCCAGCAGCCTGACCCATGTGTTCCCAGTTAACACAAGAGCCCTCATCCCCACAAAGCCTTCCTGCATTGCACGCACCTGCCTGCTAACCTGTTTCAGCCCCTCCAGTTCCTCCATTCTCCCTGCTCCTCTCTGCCTCGGGGTCGGGAACTTGTTCCGGATAATGAAATCCAGTTGCCAGATGCAGGCCAGCACCTCTCCTCCCCACAGCCCCAGCTGCTGAGGCCCGAGCCCATTCATACAGAGACAGGCTGCGCACACAGTCACCCAGCATTCAACAGCAATTGCCTCTTCGGCCAGGCTAGCGGACCACGGGCAGAGGGAGGGGGCTGGACTTCACTCCTTCACTCTCCTCGCTGGTGTGGACCAGCCTCACCCAGCCCAACCTGGCTCCTCCCTGTAATAAGAGTACTCCTGACAGAGACACCCTCCCAGCACCAGGGCTGGCTCAGGCTGTGTGACCCATGGTTGATGCTCTGCTGTCGCCGTTGTGAAATGCTCAGAGGCCCACACTCTCATTCTGCACTGGGCCCCACAAACCATGCAGCGGGTCCGGTCAAGCTCTCTGTATGTATCGACTCCAACCTCCTTGGGCAGGTACTAGCATCCTCCCCACTTAAGAGACGAGGCAGTCAAGGATCGGAGGTGAAGTTACGTGCTTGGGGTCAGAAGGGCTGGCAGAGCTGGATTTGAGGCAGGTGGTCTGGCTGGACTCTGTGCTCTTAACCCTCGTGCTCTGCCAACTCCAGGCAGGGGCTGCACCTCTGGCTCACTGCCTGCCACTCTGAGTGTGGTGATGAACAAAACACTAGAACAGGATGTTCTGCTTTTCACATCCATTTTCCCTTTGATCCTCATAACAAGCCAGTGAGGAGCCAAAGGGAGGAGGAGATGAGGAGACTGAGAGCCAGTGAGGTTGGGGACTTGCCTGGAACCACGAGCAGTCAAGCCTCCAGGAGCCTGCCCGTTCCTGTCCTTCCCTCTCTCCCACAACCAGCTCTCCAGGGGTCCCGAACTCTAAGAGCAAGAAGAATGGTCTGGAGGAGGAATGAGGCCAGACCACAGGCTCGGCATCACGGAGACCCGGTTCCCCTCTGAGGGTCAGAGGCCAAGCTGCAGGAAGACACCTGCTTCTCAGTGTCACCCACCTGGTAGGTGAGACCTTTCACCCCACAATGCCCCTCCTGCCATCCAGCCCCTGCGCCAGGCAACTGGCTGGACAATGGACCAGGACTGAGGTGCTAACTAAACACGCCTATCCTGTGCATGCCGGCCCCAGGCTTGGAGGCTCCTTCCTCTGAGCTTAGCTCTTCATTTTTTTTATAGCTTAAAGAGAGAGAGGAAGGGAGAGGGAGAGAGAAACATTCATTGGATTGGCTGCCTCCTGCCGGACCCCTACTGGGGATTGAGCCTACAACCCGGGCATGTGCTGTGACCAGAAATGGAACCAGCAACCTTTTAGTGCACGGAATGATGCCCAACCCACTGTACCACACTGGCCAGGACACAAAGTAGAGACTCATTCTGCTGCTGCTGCAGGAATCTCCCCAGTTCTGCCCCACAAGGGACCCCTTCGTGCAGGACAGTCCTTGCGGCCTGGAAGAGAGGACCTCTCAGTTCTTCTCTTGCCCATTCTAATCTTCATCACCCTCTATCACAGCGGTCACCAACCTTTCGGACCTCACAGACCACCAGTGGTCCACGGACCACCGGTTGGCGACGGCTGCTCTACTGCACACTAATAGCATGGCCCAAGCTATGCCCAAAGTACCCAACACCCCCCCCCCAACCCCCAGGTTTTTCCTTGCCTGCCTAGGAAGTGGTGCGTGTCAGACTACAGCCCAGGGCTGTAGAATTAAGCAAAGCTGGGTCTGCATCCTGGCTCACCACTTACTAGCTGTGTGACTGTAGGTTAGTTACTGGATCCACTGTCAGTTTCCTCGTCCCTATAATGAGGATAACAAGACAAGAAACACAAAATGCTAGGCACAGTGGCTGCTGGGTGCTTGTCTGATCTTAACTAGAACAGAAGACACCCAATGCGCTGAGCTGTGTCATTCTTTGCCTGTCTAGCTCCCTTGTAACAAACTGCCTGGCCCCAGCCCCTGGCAACGACGGTGCCACCCATGTATGTGTGCTGTGTTTTCACACCAAGCATGCCATCCCGTTGGACTATAGGAGCAAACGGGGTCTCAGCAACAGGCCTGCCCAGAGAGGGGGTGGCATGTTTTGTTCACGATGCTGATGATTTCAAACTGAATGAGAGGGCTGGGACATGGCATGCAAAGATAAACCAAAAGGTCCTCAGTGGACTGGTAGCTCTTGAAATGACAGACCTGGCTCCCAATCCCAGCTAGGTTTAACATCTCTGCACCTCGATTTTCTCATCTGGAAAAGGGGAATAATGCCCAAGTCAGAATGGTGTGACAGTGGAATAACATCACTAAAGTCTTTGTACCAACTCTGCAAGGCCCAGGGAATGCTCACTCCCCCTCAGGCATCCTACACCTTTAGATCTGATGGGTTTCCGTATGTTCTTCAGTTTCTTCATGAAGGGCTTTGAGTTGGTCATTTCTGACCAAGGCCCTTAGAATAGCAGTCTGTATTCTCTCAACAATTCCTTAACTAACACCTTTGATGTGTAGGAGATGACTTAGCCCCTCATTTTTGTTGTTGTTATTAATCCTCACCTGGGGATATTATTCCCATTGATTTTTAAAGTGAGTGTAAGGGATGGAGGGAGAGATGGAGGGGGAGGGAAAGAGAGAGAAACATGGGTGTGAGAGAGACACATTGATTAGTTGCCTCCTGCATGTGCCCGACCAGGGCAGGGAACCCGCAATTCAGGTATGTGCCCTTGAGTGGGAATCAAACCCTGGATCTTTGGGGTGATGAGGGTGGGGGAAGGGGCAGGACACTCTAACCACTAACCCATGCAGCCTAAGGCAACTTAGCTCCCTCATTTAAAAATTTTTTTATTGATTTCAAAGAGGAAGGGAGAGGGAGAGAGAAATAGAAACATCAGTTATGAGAATCATCCATCATCTGCCTCCTGCACGTCCTCTATTGGGGATCAAGCCCGAAACCTGGACATGTGCCCTTGACTGGAATCAAACCCAGGATCCTTCAGTTCGCAGGCCAATGCTCTATCCACTGAGCCAAACCAGTTAGGGCCTGCCCCCTCATTTTAAATGTCAGGAAATTGTCCAAGGTGACTCACATAGGAGTTAATGACCCCCTGGGACCAGAACCCCAGGCCCTGGGCTCCAAGCTCTGTTTTTTCCTTCATGGTACTAATTTGCTTTAACATGTTGAGGGCTCATCCAGGCCCTATTGGGACTGGGGATATGACTTTGGCTCTGAAATAACTCATCCTCTCTGCTGGAGGAAGATCTGGCAAACCTACTAAAAATAATTACAATACAAAGCAGTAAGACTAAAATAGAAAGTATTTAGCCAAATGAGTAGAAAAACTGCCAATGTAATTAATTTATGACCACTGTCATCTCTCATTAGGAAGTGGGACTAGCCAGAGGCTGTTTAGTTGCTCTGGACTGCAGTGGGTTCTCAACCAATGGTGTCCCTCAGGGAACATTTAGCAAAGTCTGGCTCTGTCAGGGAGGGAATGCAATAGGCATCTAACAGGCTTGGGATGCTGCTAAACACCCTACAATGTACAACAAAGAATTATATGACCAAAACGACCGTAGTGGGTCTCAACAGGGGGAAAATTGGATCTCAGGGGCCAAAAAATAAAAAATAAAATCTTAGATGTTACAATGGTTTGTACCACTCCAAAGGGCCATGGTACCTGAACGGTTTATCTGTGTTATTAACCGTTTGAGTCCCAAGCAGCTCGATCGCGCTGCTGAGATTTTATGTCCAGAAAACATACGATTCCGTTTGAGTCCCAGGGGGTATTGAAAAAATACTGTCGAAGAATCCCAAACAGCGCAACCACGCTTTCTCTAAATGAGTACGAAAAGACCCAAACAGCGTGATAGCGCTTGTTTTATTTTATGTCGAGAAATACCAAGCAGCGCGATTGCGCTGCTTGGGACTCAAACAGTTAAACTTTCATGGGGGTTGGCGGGGAGCACTTGGAAAAAAATGCCCAAAAGGCTCCTTAGCCTGGCCAGTGTGACTCAGTGGTTGAGCATCTACCTATATGAACCAGGAGGTCACAGTCTGATTCCTGATCAATGATACTCTCTCATGACTGATGTCTCTCTCTCTCTCTCTCTCTCTCTCTCTCTCTCTCTCTCTCTCTCTCCCTCCCTCTCCCTTTCTCTCTGAAATCAATAAAAATATATTTTAAAAATAAATAAAAGGCTCCTTGGGGGGAAGGGCAATAATGAAAAAAGATGGACAGACCCTGGTCCACACAGGTCCCCCTGAAGTGCAGGCTGGGGGCCCTTTGGTCCCATTGCCCCCGGAGGGCCTCAGCAGCCTGGCACTAATAGTGTGTCCCAAGCTCGGCTCTCACTCACTCACCAATCTCCAGCACATCTGTCTGGGCCCCTCAGTGTCCTCATCCGCAAAATGGGAAGAACTGCTCTGACCTCCTCCAAGAACAGCTCAGGGCAGAGGAGGTGCCAGGACCCCTCCCACGCAGGCCCACTCCTGCATACCTTGGAACGAGTCCAGCAGGTTTTGTCCTTATGGGGATGAATGTCCACTCCAGTCCAGGAAGGAACAGCTGGACTGTTGATCCCCCGGTGACAGCAGACACAGGTTTCAACAGACTATGGTTTCTCTCCACGACTAACATCACTCTTTAAGGTCTCACCCCTGTCCTACACCCACCCCTAGGGCCCACTCTCAGGCCACCCAGAAAGTGCTTCCCGACGCCTGGGTGATCCCTTCTGCTTTTCTAAGTTCATAATAATATAAAGGTCCCTACCTGGCGGACTACTCACACCCAGCAAGTTGGAGGACCCCACTTACTTGTCTCAATTCATGCCCAAAGGGGCCCAAACCCTTTGCAGATTTAAGAGGCTGCACCTTGACCGTTTGAACCTCATCAACTCCTCTGCCACCCTCGCACCCTCAGAGGGAGGGCGCACCTGGCCAGCGCGGCTGCAGGAGACGTGCGCTTAGGGCCAGGCGACGAGCGGACGCCGGGCCTTTCCGGGGTGTCTACGCTCCTCACTCGGCACAGAAGGGAAGCTGCTCCCCAGGCTTGCGCGCCACACAGCCCAGGGAGTGGGGGCTCCTGAGGCCCCATGCACCTGGCCCTCGCCCGGGGCGGCCGCTGCTCTGTCCGGGCCGCGTTCCCCGAGCGGCCAGAGAGGACGTGCCGGGAGGGGGACCAAGCACGTAGCCCCGCGCCCGCTACTCACCTCCGCCAGCCTCGCTTGGCTCCGGAGCCGGGAACCCCTCGGCTTCTTCGTGGGGAGTCCCCATCCCTCTGCCAGCAGCGCTGCCAGCAGCACCGAGCCGAAGAACAGCCCTGCTCTGCTGGGGAACCGAGGCATCGTGGCTCTCCAAAGCCGCTCCTCCAGTGCCTCTCGATGAGCTCCGCTCCCGCGAAGTTTGTAGGCGGCTCAGCCTGGCCGCGGGGGCCGCGGGGGCGCGGGGGCGGGGGCGAGCGGCGCGCCGCCCTCTCCGGCCCGAGACCCAGGCACTGAGCGCTCACGGCTCTCGGGGTCAGCGCCCGGGGGTCCCCCGCCCTCTCCGGAGGTCTGGCTCCTCCGCGCTTCCTTTGATCTGGCCCCCTCCCCACCCTCTGTCCCCGCCGCTGTCGCCATCGCAGCCCCAAGCAAATTCTTGTAATGGGGAGTTTGCAGCCCTCCGGCAGGCGCTCCCCAGCCCGGGCGAGGACTCCCGCGAGGTCGCTCTCCCCTGCGGCGCTCCCACTCCCACTGCGACGTTGGGGCGCAAGGAGAGCCAGGGCCTAGCGCTTAAGGGATTCGCCCCGGCCCCACGCGGGACCCCTCAGATTATGGGCAAAATGTTTATGACTCCAGGTAGGTCTGCGTGGGGAGGAAGGCCTGGAAGTAACCCCCGGACTTCCAGCTCCCCTGCTGGGCGTGGAGACCGGAGAAACACCTGCCGTCCTGCACCCAGTTTTCTCAGGGTGTCTGTCCTCAGAACACTTCAAACCAGGAGTGCACCGAGACTCTGATGGAGGGTTGAAGGGAACCGAAGTTTTGCAACCCCGAAGCTGCCTTTTGGGCTATTGACTTAAGCTGTTTATTAAGAAACAAAGACTCAGAACCTTTATGTCTCCCCCTCTCCTGCCCAAGAGATTCAGACGGAAAAACCTGTTTTAGGAAGGAGATCTTAGGATGCTGCCTTAGCCTAATTTAAGGATGGTAAAGAGAGGGCTTCGGGCAGCCACTTCTTAGGTACATGTGTCCCACTCTTCCTCAACTACCTGTAAACCACCTAGTCTCACTTCTGAAATCTAAGACCCCTGTCCCCCCACCTCCCACCCCTTTTCTCCATTGTCCAAAATGTCTTATGTACCCAGTGTTGCTTCACTGTCTCTGGATTTCATGCTTATGTGAATTCCCCATACACATGTTATTAAATTTTTTATTTTCTCCTGTTAATCTGTCTCTGGTCATTTGATTATTAGCCCACCCAGAACTTAGCGAGTGGGAGGAAAAGTGTTAATATTTTTTTAGCCCCTACAGGTTAAAGCCCCAGAAAGACAGCTGCTAACCATATTTGAGGGAGTGGCCAGTAGATCCTGCCCTGCTGCTGGTGTCACTTAGTTTTATTCCGGATCTGGCAGTGGGACTGCCACTCTCCCCAGTGCAGGGATCCTCACGGGTAGGGCATGGAATAACACCTCAATGTTATGGTAAACATCAGGAACTCGAGGGGTGATGACAATTTTAGTGGCTTAGATAGGGGCTGTTAGGGGATGTGAGCTCGGCGACACAGGGCAAGCGTGAGTGGATGGGGATTGGACAGGTTAGTAAGGAGCATTAGGAAGATAGGAGGGAGCACAGTCTGCCTCAGTTTCAAGGTAGGGATAGGAGGCGCTGGGGAGGATGGCCAGGAAACCTGACACAGGGCTGAAACTTGGGATCGGGTTTAGCCATAGTGAAACTCTTAGGGGACTGGCTTATTTCTGAGAAACTGCTTCTATCCCCAATAGCACGGCCCAGGACTCTGCAGTGTTTTGAATAGTGCATCACAGAGATTACAACCTGGGTCTGGAGTCGGCCACACGTTTGAATCATTTACAAAGAAGTTGATATTATTGGACAAGTTCTTTGACCTCTCCGTGCTTTTGTCATCTGTAAACGTGTGTCGGGGGTAGGTGGAGGGAGAAGGGTACCTACTTCACAGGTGTGAGAATGAACTAAGAATGTATGTGAAAAAATTTATATTAGGATGAACTATATAAAGTTGCCACTTGTTAAACAAGGTCAAATACTGGCAATTTCATATGATGCAACCTATTCAGAGGCCTGTGACATGTGTAAACACTGTTGGCCAAAAGAAACCTAGCATTTGAGCACCTGCTACACTGTATTGCTTTTACTAGACTAAATGGGAGACCACTTTGTTTTTTGTTTTTTTAGAACTTTTTTTGATAAAACTATTTTTGAATCCAACCAAATATTTTGTCTTTCCATCAGACTTTTGCATCAAACTTGGAGTTTGAAAATAAAGGGTGCCCTGACCCATATGGTTTAGTTGGTCGGCCAACAGCCCATGCACCAAAAGGTTGTTGGTTCCATTCCTGGTCAGGGACATGCCCAGGTTGCAGACTTGATCCCTGGTGGAGGGTGTGCAGGAGGCAGCCGATCAATGTTTCACTCTTACATTGATTTTTCTCTCTCCCTCTCCTTTCCTCTCTCTCTAAAAATCAATAAAAATATTTATTAAAGAAATAATAATGGTTTTATTTATTCATTTGTACCTCTCTTAGGGCACAGGTTTTTTCTCTCTCCAGGGTTTTTTTTTTCTTTTTCTTTCATTTTCTTTTTTTTTTAATGCAGTGGACAGAAAGGAGGTGAGATTGGGGGTTTCTCCTGAGGACCCAAATGGGTTAAGTAGATCTCTTCCCACCATTAGGTAGGGTGAGGATATGATTAGTATCACATAGCCAGAAATTTCCTGTGCCCTTAAGTGAAGGGTCCCATGGTTTCCATGGATCAAACTCTACCAGGCATATTTCCAGAAAGCATAAAGGGCGGTAATTAGGTAGTTGTTGGTCAAGGTTATATGAGTGATTAAATTGGCATCTTAGGTTTCTGAATATTAATAAGGTGAGCCCAGGGGGGAGTCCAATATGGCAGTTGGGAACCACACTGATCTTCTCCCAGGACCAAACTGGAATTACAACTAAAATATTAAAAAATCATCCTGAATAACTAACTGAAGACTAGCTGGAGAGAAGACTTACAACCCAGGACTTAAAGAGGAGACCACATAGCGACTGGTTGGAAGTGTAGAGGCGTGAGAGGGCTGGCAGGGCTCCCACAGCAGCAGCTGAAGTTCTGGAGGGATATCTCAGCTGCTGGGTTCCCTGTAAGAAGTCTGGGGTCTAAACCTCAAACCAGGCTCCCCATCCCAGAGCACCAGAACTGGGAAAGGTGCCCATATAACATCTGGCTGGAAAAAGAAGCAGGGTTGCTGTCTGACAAGGAGAGACAGCTAGAAAGGCAGGCCCCCTCTTAAAGGGCCAATGCACAAATTTTGTTTGTAGCCACTCACCTTGGGCTCCAGCAGAGGAAGGGCAGAGTGGATGAGAGCTGTGTGAGGAGTGCCAGGTTAGTGGCTCTGGGGTGAGAGCTGAGAAGACAGCTGCCTGGATCCCTGTGCTGAATCATTCCCTCATACTGCAGAGGACATCTTCCTCAGGCAGACCTTTCCCATCATGCAGCATTAGCCTTGGGGGAAGCAATAGCCCTACCTGTTGGAATCCCTCTCACCCCACCCTGTGGAGCTTATGCCCTGCTGAGGACTATAGCCAATCATAAGTGACTGAGAGTAACAGACAGACTACAGACAGAGGCGGATCTATGGGTGCTTTGAATCTTTGCCTCTCCAGCTCCTGGGCCTGGGACTAGTAAAAGCAAACCTTGGCCTGCAGCTTGGTCCTTTCCACATGTAGCCAGGCCCAGTAGAGGGAGCCATAAACTGTGGATTGCTGATAGCTCCGAACAGGTTGCCCAGGGCCAATCACAGAGAGTATCTGACATTGTCCTGCACCAGAGTCCCTCCAAAGAGGCCCAGGCCAACACACCCAGTGGCCAGCTTCGGACAACAACAGAGCAGGATCCAATAAGCTTCACAAGCAGCATATCCACAGGGAGATATTGGCAGGCACCAGAACCTGCTGAGACAAATGCCATTTCGCGTGATCAGCACCTGCACAGCAGCCTGCATGCTGTGTTGCGGATTGAGCTTCACTGTCAGCCAGCCCGAGTGTTGAGCCCATGCATTCATGGGTCAATAGCAATCAAAACTCAACTACAATAGGAGGACCCACACAATGTGCACAAGAGACATTCTTAGAGCACCCAGTTCTGGTGATCAGGGAGATTGCCTCACTGGGTCCCACAGCTCACCTACTACATAAGGCCACCCTACCAAGACTGGGAGTCATAGCAGATCTATCTAATACATAGAAACAAACACAAACAGGCAGCCAAAATGGAGAAACAAAGGAACAGGCACCAAATGAAGGAACAAGATAATTCTCCAGAAGAAGAGCTAAATGAATTAGAAGTAACTAATTTATCAGATACACAGTTCAGAGTAATGATTATAAAGATGCTCAACAGCATGAAAAAGGATAAAGAAACCATAAAAAGAACTTGTCAGAAACGAAGAATACCATATCTGAAATAATGGGAGGAATAAGCAGCAGGCTAGATGAAGCAGAGAATGGAATCAGTGATTTGGAAGACAAGGTAGGAAAAAACACACACAGAGCAGCAAAAAGACTTTTAAAAATGAGGATAGTTTAAAGGACCTTTGGGACAACATGAAGCATAACAACATCCGCATAAGAGGGGAACCAGAAGGAGAACCTATTTGAAAAAATAATGTCTGAAAACTTCCCTAACCTGGTGAATGATATTGAGAAAGAACAATGTTGGATGAATCACCCTACCTGATATCAAACTATACGAAAGGCCATAATAATCAAAACAGCATGGTACTGGCATAAAAACAGACATATAGATCAATGGGACAGAACAGAGAGCCCAAAAATAAATCCACACCTTTACAGTCAATTAGTATTTGACAAAGGAGGCAAAAACATACAATGGGCTAAAGATAGTGTATTACAGTGATGGCGAACCTTTTGAGCTCAGCGTGTCAGCATTTTGAAAAACCCTAACTTAACTCTGGTGCCGTGTCACATATAGAAATTTTTTGATATTTGCAACCATAGTAAAACAAAGACTTATATTTTTGATATTTATTTTATATATTTAAATGCCATTTAACAAAGAAAAATCAACCAAAAAAATGAGTTCGCGTGTCACCTCTGACACGCGTG